CTTTATTTAAATTTAAAAAATTAAATTACTACACCATTTTAATTAATTAGTTTGTAGTCCACCCTGCAGGGAGTGACGTTAGCTTATACCTAACTTTAGTCTGTTTACGCGAACACTAGTGCTAACTATTAACTGTGTATTTTGTTCGAAAAAAGCTAACTACTTTTGTGGGGCGATGGCCGCAAAAGAGTCAGACCTGGATACCTCTGCATTACATGTCAACTAACTTGTAACTAACTACTTTTGGACATGAAATATCAATAAGAAAAACAAAATATTTTTTGTTTTTTTACTTTTTTATTTACTTATTTAATTACTTTATTTTATTACATTTCATATTTGTTTACATATTCGGCTCTGGGTGGCCCCATATTCGAACACCGTCAGACATAACTTCAAAATGATAGTATAAAATTTCGATCTTCCTTTTATTTGTCCTGAATATGAAAAAGAATCTGCGAAGTTCAGAAAAAAAGTGTATTGAAAGTAATTTTTGTATGAGGATATTTAATAGAAACTTGTAAAGAAAACCAACTCCCGATTGCGTCTGCATGACTCCTGCACGACCTTACAATTCACTTTAAGTTGGTTTTGTCATAGCTAATTAAAAGTGAGGTATTAATCGAAATCTCGCCAAAAAGCTAACTATAAGTTGGTTATTTTTAACAATTGATAATTTTTCACTGCAGGGCAGTTTTGTTTTGTAGAAGTTTCGTTAGTATACACTTCAGTTTTTACACATTGAATATATCTGCAAATTTATATATTTACGCATATCTATTTACATTTATTTATGTACAAAGTCTACAAAATCTTATTACTTATAAAGCGATTTTAATCTTCGTTGTTAACACACATTTTTTCAATTACTTCTTGTGTTGTAATCGGCACATCATTATGTACCGCTAACATCGTTAAACCATTCAGCCGCTCCTAAATTGTATAAAAAGAAGGGACAAATAAGATAGCATATTCAACAATTGAGTAGTCCACTTGCAAAGTGCGCTATGTAAATTTTTGTTCGATTTTTAGTTTTTGGTGGGTTTCATGTCCATTAACAGCAGAGTGAAAAATTTTTCTATATTCTGAAAAAATAGCATGAAATGTTAACTACTCTTGCAAAAGTCGCTATAATACTTATTTATACACTTTCAAAAGTCTCCTCTTCGTATGAACTTAGAAAACTACAAGAAACGTGGTAGTTTCGGTGCCTAGTGGAAGAGGTCGCAAAAAAGAAGCAAACCAATCTTCCTAGAGGAGAGAACGCGAAAAGCTAAAAAAGCTAGCTATGTAAAAGTTACTGTTTCAAAACTTGCAATATTAAATTTTTAAATATAAAATTTGCAAATCTACCATACTGCAATTTTATATTTTTAATGGTATTATCCAAATTTTCAGGTAATAAAAAAAGATACAGTTCGGATGTTACTTGTTGTCGTAGACTTTTTTTTTAATTTATGGCTTACTTTTATAAAATCACATAACGCTGTTTGCAGTGGACTACTCATATATTCATTAAAAGATAATTTGTCATCCGTCTGAAATAAAAAAATTTTAAATCAGAAGGATAAAATAGTATTGTGTTATTAATTCAAAAGTAAATAATTGTAGTTCAATGACGAAAAAAAAAAGACCACCAAAGGTGACAATTTCCCCTATATGATAGTTACTAACTTCAAATCGATATATCTCGATTCCTAGACGTGACCCAGCGAAACGCCGGGACACGTATAACTTCTTTTTTACCGATATAACTTTCCCCGGTAGGTTGAACCCTTCCCGATCACTGACCCCTACCATTTGTCTCACAGTGTAATTTTTGATTGGAGTGCCATCTATTGTTTTTTCGTGCGAGCTATCTTTCGCATATGAGTAAGTAGTCAAGCTAATCTTTTCACATATGAGCAAGCAGGCAAACTATTTGGTTTGAAAAATCACACGTACACAAAACTTCTGGGAGCATTTTTGATTCACTATTAAGAATGTGATAGCAAAACGTGCCGAACTTAGCGGGCACGCGTGACCGTCACTGTTCTTGCTGGGTCATTCTTGTCGTTAGAATGTGTTAGAATCAGTGTTGCAACAAATATTTTTAATTTTTTTCCAAACCTCTAAAAAAAAATCACCAAACTCAGAAAAAAATTAGCAAATTTTTATGAGCATAATATTCTAAATAAATTGGAAATTATTTTTCGACGTATGTAGATAATTATTTTGGCGACGACTGAACTACATCACGTTTGGGATTGTGGCCAGCTTAGATCTATTTATATTTTTCGACCGAAAGATGAGTTCTTCCTCTTATTTTATAACAAACTCATAAAACGCTGCCGCGTTCAAAAAATTCAAATCACCATCGACAGAGCGCTTAGATAACGAAGATGAACAATTTACAGCTGTGGTTATCCTTTTGAATGTGTTCCGACTATAACAATTCACAAATATTTTTAAACATAACACAAAAAAATCGCTCAGAGATTTACAAACATTTATGATGTTAAGTTAAGATGTTTAATAGTTCATTTCCACTGCAGTTTATGCCTATAGGAAAAAAGCAGATTACAACTCGAAGGAGGTAGTTGCTCATATTAAGTACAAGCAAATGAAAGGAAAATAATAAAAACGAATAAATAAACCTTGCAGATCACCTCTTGTTAAAATTATCTAAACTCTTAAGTGTAGTTCAGCGTTGGGTGGAAATGGGCTGTAACATACAGTCTTTTACATAAAGTATTTTACATAACTTAAAACCAAAACATGAAACCAACAAATGTATCGTTAAACGATAGATAAAATTTACTTTTACAATTTTATAAATGGGTGACATTCGTATTTAATCACAAAATTTGAGTTAGTCCTGTGAAATTATTTTCTTTCACCTTTGGTTCTGGAAGGTAAAAATGATCCAAAACCCTGATTTGTGGGACTGTAGGGGCTGTGATCGAGCCGCCATATTCTGAAAAATGGGTTGTTTCCTTAAATTGCTATATTGCGAACTCATACTAAAAGTTCTGAGATGTCAAGGCAAATTTTTACATTGAAGATCCCTTTAAATTTTTGGCTCTTTTAAGGTGTAGACACATACATATGTAAGTACATAAGCAAATTTTTTTTGTTTTGTGCAATTGTAAGAAGGTTCAAAGTTATAAATTTTATAAGTAATAAGTTAGTATTAAAAATTCAAAAGAAGGGACTTACGTTGAAAAAAATTACCAAATTGAAAAAAAAATACCAAATTACCAACCTCGTTCTAAAAAGAGAAAATTACCAGTTTTGGCAAAAAAATTACCAGTTTTGGTAAAATATTACCAAAGCGGCAACGCGGGTTAGAATGCCGACTACTGAATTAAAGTATTAAGTTGATCAACAATACCACGCATCAGTGATCGGACTTCAAAAAAATTCTGTGTGGTAGAATCTGGAAAAAAATGTGGTAGATTTCAAAAAACTGTGGTAGATCTCTGGGTTTATATCAAACTTTGTACAAAAATTAAAAAAATTCTGCAAGGTTTCACCTAAATTGCAAACTTTTTAATTAGACTCTAAAAAAAATTTAATTTTAGTATAATAAAGTGCAAGATTGAAGTTGCTAAGAATTGCGTTGAGTTTTGGCAATTTTTTTCCTTGACAGTGTAAAGCATTTCCTTTCATATTAAGATAAGATATCCAGAAATAGCTAATTAGGATGTGAAGATTTTGACAATTCTTAAGAAAAACAACGCCTCGGAAACCTTAGATGATCTTAAATTTGCTAATACCTTCACAAAAATCGTCGTTTTTAAACATTATCGCTGTTAATTATTTTTATAAATCATATATGTATTTTGCAATTTAAAACAATACAACCACGTTTCTTGTCGAAAAATTGATTACTGAAAATATGTAATAGTACATACAGTTTATTTTATCCTCCCATTCGGCTTTGTTTACTTTAACTAGAGAAATTTCATCGTCGTCGGGATTGCGGAATCTTGTATTATATCATTTTTGTTACCATATAACGTTTAGTGTTGGACAATCTTTGCTCTTAAAGTTAAGAAAATTATGTCAAGCAAAAATAAAACTACTCAAAAACGCGAATATGTGGTAGATTTCAGACCTTGAGTGGTAGATGTGGTAGACTCTCAAAAAAGTGGCAGATCTAACACAATGTGGTAGAAGTCCGATCACTGCCACGCATTGCTAGACCGTTTGCCTTTCACGTGTTTGTGTCAGCGTTGCCACTAACAATTTTTTTCCCCTACCAATTTTCTTCCCAAATCTGACCATAATCGTTTACAACCTACCAAATAAATTTCAATTACAAAAACGCATTCTGAAATCATACAATTCATTTATTTAAGATTAAATGTTTCGAATACAAAATATTTACATACATACATATATGTAGTCTGTACATTTTAAAACAAACAAGAAATAAATAAATGCATATACAGTCTTATGCAGCGTTTTTGCTGCATTTAAAACGCAACATTTAGCACTTTCGAACATATTTTTTCGAAGAGCGTTCATGCCATAGCATTTAGCAAATGTACATTTACGCGAGTTCGAAATCGTATGCTTTTGACAAACAGCCGTGTTCCAGTCGCTTATTCAGATCCGGATCTATCACGATCAATTCTCACGGAGAAAATAATGTGCAAAAAATCCTACAGAAAAGGCAAAAATTAATTTTAATACAAAAATTCAATACAAAAACTGGAATTGTTTTAACCATAACCGAATATTTTTTTTGTGTATATATTTATTTGTCGCTGCTGCCAATTAAAATTTCCTTAATTAATTAGGAAACAAGATAAGCAGAGTTGAGCATAAATTGAAGATCAACGAGTTGGTTTTAGCATTTAGATTCTTAATGCAGAAATGGAGTTGCATTTAGTAAAGTAAATTTTGCTACTGGTTTATAACAACCGAAATTAATTTTGGCATTCTAGACCAATGGTTACAACATTTTATAAACCAGTGGCAGCACCGCATAATTTGACAATACAACAAGCTGTCAAATTTGCTTTTGACAATTCAAAAGCAAAACAAAAGAAAATGAAATGGCTGAGGCTGCGGAAAAGAAGTAAGTTTTGTTTATTTTATTAGAAATTTAAAACTAAATTAAGATTTTTTTCAGAAAATATACGCGAATAACAAAATCGCAATTGAAATGGTATGTTCAATTCGTTAAAAATAACCCGCTAATTATTAGTGGCAAAAATACACCATCAGACCCACAAGCTCAGAAAAGATTGTGGAATGAAGTTGCCAGGAATCTCAACGCAATGTATGGGCCTGATAAAACCCCGGAAAAGTGGAAAGAGGTTAATGCTACATATATTTTATTATATACATATGTAACGGGTGATTTTTTTGAGGTTAGGATTTTCATGCATTAGTATTTGACAGATCACGTGGGATTTCAGACATGGTGTCAAAGAGAAAGATGCTCAGTATGCTTTGA